GGTGGAGGTAGTGGGTGATAGATGGAAAGGAATCTTAACTAAATAACGAACAGAACAACGAAGAAGGCGAACGGCGACGGCAGTGGAGAGTGATGATGTAACTAATTTCCGCCCTATTTTGCTGCTGTCATCGCGGCAAACAGACGATGTACCGACGGCCTTTGCGGACCGGACAAGAAAGTCGTGAGCGTCGCGGTACACGTCGATGATAAAGTGATTCACCCAACAGTGTCAGAACAGACAAATGGATTACACCACTACTGAGATTTATCGAAAGAGGGATGAGCTGTTGGATGAGTGCTGGGTAGGAGTGTTACATGGAAGCGAATTACAAATCAATCTGCTGCCATTTTCAAAAGCTCTCTGCAAGTGAATAAGCTGCCTTCATTTACCGGTGATCTCTTTCCAAAGCTCATCATTTCTCGTTCGAATCCTCCCGATCGCTTGCCGAACGCCATCATATCTCGTTCAAACTGAAAAAAAACCAATTTCATTCTCTCGTTCCAGATGTACTAGAAGGTTTTTGATTCTCATAAAGGCGATATAGCATTCTTAACGACTGCGTTATGTTGCCTCCCCTGGTCAACTTTTGTGAACAGCTCCTTTAACGATGCTGTGAGGGCTGACCGGAGCTTGTGCATCTACGAACTGATTTTTAAGCAAAGATCTAAGCTCAGCGAAAGCGTGAGGGGCCAAGTGGAAGCTTCAGAGTCCAAAAAACGAAAGTCACGGCATGACAGTGGGTGACTAGCTTTTTCGTTACTCTCTTTTGAGTCTTCGGACTTTTTTGAAGGAGCTGAAACTGACCGCAGGACCACCGTAAGCAACTAGGCGGCCATTTCCATATGCTCGTTTGCCAAAGTGCATAATATCACGTGAGAAATCGTTTCGTTTCTCATTTTCGCCAGCATCGGAAACTAAAAGAAACGATGTCATGAAAAAAAACTACAGTAGGACAGCTAGAGCTTGAACATACGGTACTGTGTAGAGGCGACAGTAACTGTCACGGCTAGGCAAACGAGGGACCAAGGAGGCATCATCATCTGAAACCTGAATGATTTAACTTTCAAAAATAACAGCGACGGCAACACAAAGACGACGATGGCAACACGCGGACGGCCAAGCATGAAAAGTCTGAGGACAACGAAGAAAGTGCGATTCTTGAAATATTGGAGGCGGAAAGTGCCTACGAAATAAAAACGTTTTCGTATAAATTATTAAAATAACCTAGCTTCATTGTAGATGAGCATCATAGATGAAATTACATGTATGTACGACGAGCCATTCTATGGCCATTCTATGCCGTATTGTTGGATTTTCATTAGGTAGTTTGCACTGACGAGATGTCCGAGTTTTCTCTATTCGTCTTTATTCGAAACCCAGCTTTCACTACTTACATCTCACGAGACAGCAAACCAAAAGAATTGTAGACTACATGGGAAATCCTCATTCTACCTTTGAATTACCAGAACAAAATGTGGATCTTGAACTTTGGGTCTCAGCTTTCAATACCTTCATGATTTTCGACTACTGTACGTTTTTACGCAGTCCCTCAAGGATACGCCATGGTTTTAGCTCAATTCCGAACGACGAAGCAATATGTATAGGATTTTTGACGTTTACAGTAGCCTCAAAATCGAGTAGGGTTTCGTGCCACTGTAATTCAGCTATTTTCAGCACAGCTTCCCCTGAAAACTGCGTTTATTTCAGTCCAGGGGATGGGATGATAGCTCGACCTTAGTGCGAAGGGATACGGGACTTGACACCAATTTCAAAAAGTGGAGGACCTGTCAAAAGCTCAACCTTTTAAGCAAATGGAGCTTGGGATGAGCACCGTGCCCGTCATAACAAAGCTTCACCCTTCCAACCTATGTATTAGAGGAAGTATGCGATCTGTTAATACTAGGGTTATTCTCATTCTCTGGCGGTTTAGCGAATGGCAACTGTCCCTCAACAACTTGTTGTTAGGGGCTGTTAGAGGTGATTCACAGCTTTAGGGTCGATTATCAGAATTGACCAGGTGGCGACTGGCCTTAGAGATGGAAAAAAAGTCTAGCTTCTAGGAAAAGCTGCTTCCTGGAGTGATTAATGGGAGGGAGAAAGGAGGACCCTGAGGCGTGCTCTTTGCTGTTCATTGTTCTCATCTGGACTACCATAGCACCAGGCTTCGTGTTGAGTGTATACTGTATTTATACTGTATATGTTGTGCAAATGCCACAAAGGTTTGTAAATCATTCAATCAAAGAGTTTCCAGATGTTGTGAAAGGTAACGACTTCGTTCCCAGAAGCGGTTTGAAGTTCATGGGATACCCCAGCTTTCTACCTTGAAGATTTCCTTTGCGAGGGTGTTCTTCTAAGGGTTCGAAATATTTCAGAGAATACTTTGCAGAAAAGATTACTAGGTAAGATTGATCACGTTAAAAAAGCCTGCCTTCAGACAGGTAACTTTGTACTAGAAACAAATCTCATTCACCTTTGACAGGAGTTTATCCCCCACTTATCAGGTCCCTGCTGGAGCGCTTCAGGACAGAGCTATACGTGCTGAAAGAGGGGTAAACTGTAACTTTGGCATTTTTTCCGTAGGCGATCTTTTCAATTTTGGCCACAAATTCGGTCATTTCTGTCACAAGCAGATGTTTTCGGTACTTTTGAATCAGTTGATTTAAAAGGCAGCCATGGGCCTATGCTAAGAATGCAGCCCTTGACTAGGAGAGGCAGCATGCCCAGCGTTGGCTTCCTCAGTTACCTGACATCCGTTCAGAACAGCAAGGATAGCTGAATGGGGTCACTCAGCCCGAAAAAAAGAAATCTTCAAAAGTAGTATGAGCTCTCTGGAAAGTAATATTTACTACTATCCGTTGCAATTCCGCAATAGGGTCGGATAGAGACGTTACTATCGCCCACTCGAGGAAATCGATGATCAAGGGGACGACAGACAATACGGATGATTTCTTTGCAAGACCAATACAGCTAGTTAGAGAACATTTAACCACGCCTGACTACTTTGGGTGCAGGCCCTCTTTAGATAGGAAATTTCAAAAATTTAAAAAGGTTTGTCGAGAGTGCGAGAGCGGCGATTGACGTCACATAATTTGTTTTTTCCTTATCTTTAAACTCTGTTATGGTTCGCGATGTTGTCAAACAACATTTGACGGGCCTCCGCGTACTCTAATAAACCAGTACATTTCCATAGAAGGGACGGGGATATTTGTGAAAAATGTAAAGGAAAATAGGAACTAGAATCAAATTTTTAACAGACAGTTTCATCTCAAGGTGGATTACCCACACTTCTTAAGTTGATTATCTGTAAATCAATCATATTTGCGATTCTAAAATGGTTAAAAACTGCTAATGCAGACTGCACTCTGTTCTGGATCAGTTGACTCACGGTACCGATCGTGCAACTTTCGGTCGTTTGCTTGGCAGAATGCCCTTGGCCCCTTTGGTTGCCTTTCCAACACTTCAGAGCGGTAATAATGTAAAGTCAATGTGACCAGAACCTTGCATCCATCAGTCGGGTAGCAGCCCTTGGCATGAGAACGCGTTGCGACCGCTCGCAAGCTTGTGAATTAGTGCTACACCTTGATTCTCCGTCTTGTATAAACCCCAAAGAGGGCACTATAGATGCCTTTATACATCCCAGATAGTTGAATATGGAGAAAATAGCGATAGGAGCAGAACGGTGGGCGTTTCGCCAACCTGAATTTACCAGGTTTTTTTTATTTAATTTTATTACACGAAAGGGTGATAGTATGAGTGAGAGGTAGGGGGTGAGCAGTGTCTTATCACCCACAAGACCAGAGGATCAAGTACCTGCAGTACCTCCGAAGCCGAGACCGACGAAAGACATTGCCTTGCACACCAACTGCCTGCCCTGGCCCTCAGTTAATGAAAGGTGAACATTCAGAAGCCATGTTGGTGTTCAACGGGAGACAAATTTGTAGCGCAGTGCTGAATACGGCCAAACACCTCCGCACTTCCGTTCTCTTTTCAACTCCCTTTCATTTCAATGATCAAGTTTGACGTCAACTAAATAAGCTGTTTGTACTAGGTATGAACTTGCATACTTTGCAGTTCACTGCTCAAATGTGGGAGAAGGTTACGGGGCATAGGACGGGCTAGAAGCGTAAAAAGCGCAAAATTCCCTGGGCAACATTTGGATAGGAAGAGTGTAAGCAATGTTTTTTTAAATAAAAAAGCTGGGCGCCTCACGGGTTTCCACACAGCAGATTTGCTTAATTAGAAAGTGATTTGCTTGGAACACAGTGGTTAGCATCATGAATATCTCTACGATTTCGGTAGAAGTCGAATACGTGGCGTAACCCAAAGTGGATACATAACGCCATTCATTTCACTTTTTGATAGAACAAAATCTTGTGATGTTGACCAGCGAGTTTCGGGGTCCGCTCCAATATGAATTTCAATATGTACCATGGATAAAGGAGAGGGGGTAGCTCCATGTAGAGCTCCGATACCCACACAGTCTGTAGATCGATCTCGGATCGATACTCGCCCAGGCCAATCAAACCTTTACATTCCCTCGGGGTCCGTCTTTTGGTACCACACTAGTCTAAGATAATGAAAGCCTAACTAGCACGTATAAGCCAAATACGCAATCGGAGCTTCACTACGGTTCTGAATGGAAGACAAACCCGAGGGGGCCATCTCAAAAACGGGATTGACCATTACCATTTATTCTACCTATCGCTCATGGAGAGATGCCTTTTCTACCTTTAGTCGTCGATCATTGAGGGGTGTAGACTCTGCACCTCATACAAATGGCAATTTTAGATTAAGTATTATTTACGTCTTTCTGTGACGTAGAATTAGTTTAGCGCGTCACATAATCGAGCTCCACATCAACAATCTGCGAAGTACATGATATTTTCAACCATTGATGCAGGAGAATGAGATCGAGGAGACTGGTAACAGCTCAGGGAAAGAGTTGAAGACAAACTTCGATTATTGATCGTTTTGGGATATACCATTCAGAATTGTGGTAGCATATGCAGAAGCCCAAAGAAGAAAGATCCAGAGATTTTACCCTTCCAGATAGCCCTGTGTCAGTTACCGATGCCATATATAGACGGCTCGATCGGCCGGAAGGCAAGGGTATTGGTCCGGGACACTTAACCATGCCATAGCAGCTACGCCACGCTATCGCACTCCCGCGGATCTTCGACGTATGTCATACTCAGCTTTCCCACACAAGTAGGATAGGGGAGGAGTGAGAAGATGTTTAATTGAGGTTTTGGGTTAATACAAAGTAGGACCACCACCTCATGCATGACATGCATGACCCGGAAATTAGATTCAAACAAAGCTAACCACGCCCATTAGGGATTTCATAGGGTTCTCCAGATGGTATGAGACTTTCAGAAGGTAATATACTAGCCGGGAATCAAAACAGAGGCTTTCATATCACTAGGTGAAATGGACATATAAAATAGCATCAGGAAACGAGTAAGAAAGCTGGTGCACGGCGCATCCGAAAACAAAATCTGTAGACATTAAAAACTTCGACTTTTGTCTGCTCGACTTATTTAATTCACCCATTAGCACGTTCTAGTAGGCAGTCTAGATTGAAGAGTACTAACGTCAAGTTGACTGTAAGATTTAATAAGGCATGGGGCGGATATGGCAGAAGCGAAGGTTACTGAGCTGCACTAAGGGAGCCCACTCAAGCGAACCAGATCTCCCATACGTTCTGATTCGCTTAATTAGTAACTTGTTTGGGACGTTGTGGTAAGCATATTGAATGCCTTAACGATTTTAGGTAGAAGTCGAATACGCGGCATATCCATCTTTCAATGCTGATCAATCCGTTCAGGAATGCGCCTCACATTCGGCTTCGATTGAAATTGAAGTAGCGTTAGAATGCTTATAGAAGGAAGAAGCCTATGAAAGGCAGCAGAAGTACGAGTCAGTCTTCTGTC